GTAATCAGTAAAGTAACGGGATTACTTTTTTGGGGAAGTAATCAGTAATTAGTTACTGATTACTTTTTTCAAGTAACTTGACCAACACTGCTACTGACTGTGTACGTGTGTATTTACTGATTCGTTGAAAGCACTCAATAACAGCCTCACAAAGATACTAGTGCAACCCAGCTGTGTGGTGATATAACAGCTGCACCATTCACCGTTAAACTATGTATGGTAAATGATTTATTAATGTTCAAATTCTCCACTTTTTACATTAGAAGACATTGGCAGGGTGAGAGTCGGTTGCTTTTGGTGCCAACTTGCTGACTTACTTGAAGGCGTAGCGCAGGAGGAAGCTGATCTTGCCGCAGGTGTCGCCCTGTTTGCCTTCGCCCTGGTCGCCTTTGGGTCTGTAGAGCTCCGGTTTAATCTGCCCAATGCTGGTTACCTGTTCCTTCTCCTCTCCGTGGAAATCGGGACTGGAGAGCTGGTGAGTCATGGGCTTGGGCCTAAGCAGAGATAAAAGGGCTCAGAGGGTGAATATTAAGGAAAGCGCAGCAAATGCGCACATGCAGTCACAAAAAAAGTGTGATTTTGCAACATTATCAGAGATACAGAGACGGGCAAACATTCTAAATTGTAGTTTACCCACAGTTTGATTTCCCACACCTTTTTGTATGCATATGTTTACAGTGCAGTTGCAATGCTTGGAAATATATGAAGGGAAAAAAGCAAATAGCAAAGTAGTTTCGTGGTGATAATAATTCTGTCAAAAAAACCCCACACTTTTCAGAAAATGTGCACTTCAGTGTTTATAGAGTTAACATTTGTGCCCTTGCTTTGAAAAAATCCATGTGTCCACAAAGTGAGATATCATAAAAAACCATTCAAAACAAGCAGTGCAGACGCTTTGCTTTACGGACCTCAAAAGTGTTCATTAAAAGAGAGCAAGATTAAAACCGCTGTAACCTGAGTAATGCGATTTTTACGACTGTGTTTTCAAAAACACATTTTATAAAGGTAGAGTCCTCCTCTTATTGATTTACTGATGTGTTTGTTAAATGGATGCACGGTAATGATCACCAGCTCGGGGGTTAAAGTTCACTTCTGTTTTTATTTCCCACTTTGTCTCAGCGCTAACGGACTTAAATGAAAAACAAACACACACACACACTCGATACTGACCGAGGGGTGACCTGCTGTTGGGAGTGAGCGTTCGGCAGGTCTTTATTGGCTCCGCCCTCTGAGTTGGGAACGTCTGGAGACGTCTGACTCAGCTTCAGAGTTCCTACAAGAGTATAAAATCTTCGGTGACTCACATGCTTGTTTTGTTTTGTTACAGTGCCACTAAAGACCTGCATTTTTTGTCAGCAACATTGATCTCATTGATTGTTGTACTTTGATTTAGCAGGCAGTGATTTACCAGCTGAGGGGAGTGAAGGAATGAGCAGACATATTTACAATAGCAGAACATGAGCCAGCATTAAAGGCATACAGAGACGTGAAACAAGGCTACATCAAACTGCAATAAAGGCAGCCAGCAAACATTTGATATTGAATAATGATAAACAGCGTGCACCAGCGTTGACAGCCAGCATAAATAAAACTCCAGGATGAAAACTCAGAGCTGTTTTTATAAACTCAGGTCCAAAATATCTCTGACAACAGTTTCTATTTTAGCTTCTTTTTCTAATTGCTGCCTGTTTTTGTATAATGTTGTGCTCAGCTGACACGCCAGTTCCCCATCATCCCCATCATCACATGCTGTTTGGACAGCATGGCTTAAAGTCAGGTGCATGTTTTAAGGCTGTCTTTTATTCTTGCAATTGAGTCAAAACAGCACAAAACAGCAAAAAACAGCGAGAATGCATAAAAATGGTAAATGGCCTGTATTTGTATAGCACTTTACTAGTCCCTAAGGACCCCAAAGCACTTTACACATCCAGTCATTCACCCATTCACACACTGGTGATAGCAGCTACATTGTAGCCACAGCCACCCTGCGGCGCACTGACAGAGGCGAGGCTGCCGGACACTGGCGCCACCGGGCCCTCTGACCACCACCAGTAGGCAACAGGTGAAGTGTCTTGCCCAAGGACACAATGACCGAGACTGTCCAAGCTGGGGCTCGAACCGGCAACCTTCCAATTGCAAGGCAAACTCCCAACTCTTGAGCCCAGCTTTAAGTCAGAGGTAAATGCATAGGAATAATGGTGTCACATTACCATCTACTAACTGTGATATGTGATACTGACGTTGAAATATCGTTATGGATTTCTACAGTTATGTAACTCTCTTGGCACCGCAATTGGATTTTGAATTGAATTAATCTGCTAAAAAAGACAAGACTCAATAAGCAAAGCTACGGTTTAATTTGATAATTTGATTATTATCATTAGAATTGTTATCATTTAATGAATATTTATGTGTTATTCTATTATATAACATTACTTCTCTCATCTTCATATAGTGCAATATTATCATTATAGTAATAAAGGCGATAATAATAAAGGCAAAATCCAATGAGAGTCTTCAATATATTTAATATTAATGTTAATAACTTGCTTGTTTGTTCAGGGCATATCTGTTTTCACTTGGGTTTCAGTGCGCTTAATTTATTTTCTACAGCAGGTGTGTTAAACTAAGAGCCTGGGGGGCAGAACCGGCCGCTCGAATGACTTTGCAAAGTGTGAAAATTGCAGAGGAGGTCATAGATTTGTGAATTTTCCCTGTCTTTTGCAAAAGGAAGCATTGTGCTGCAGCTCATTAAGAATTGATCATGTGCTTCTTTAATTTAGCAGTGTTTCTTTATAATGACAGTATGCTGACTGAATGTGGGAACAACTCAGATATATTGCTGAAGTTGCCCTCGTTTTTCTTGAGACATCTCAGGATGTTCGTAATCAATTATCTAAATGGACGGCTGATTAAATCTGAGTGTTTTCACTCAGCCAAAAAGAAAGGGAACTTTTGGACAGAGTATTTTTTACAGGTTATTAGGCAGCGGTTTTACCAGTTCATCCCCCTTGAGATGGAATTGGGCTGCGTGTGGCTCATAAGCTAAAATGAAATCAACACTGTGGTCTGCATGCAGGTGTTTTCTGCAAGCATGCTCTGATAAAACTAGCTGCTAAGGACAGTTAAGCAGCCAAGGAGCTACAAGTAGAGTTCCTTCAGCATTCAAGAAGAACAAAACAGAGCTAAATGGAAAGATTTATTTATCAGGTGGCAGGAATCAGAGGTCTTTAGGTTGTAAATCAGCCACTCATCTGCATCATATGTTCCAAAAATTATTTAAAAAAATAATAAAATAACAAATTTGCACATTATATTTTTTGTCATTTAGATCCTAAAAGATGTGTGTACCACTTGTTTTAAATTTTACTACTAAATAAATGTCTGTAATAAAAGACCACGCCAGTACGATGAAAAAGTAATATTCCTTGAATGTAGCACCACTGAAGCCCATTTATATACACGCAGTAATGGTCAACATTCATCATAGTGCTACAGTTCAGACAAATTATTTTACAGCATGTAGGTAAACGTATTAAATTCACTACCCTGTGAGTATATTAAAATGAGAAGGTATTGACGGAGACATTGCATCGCTCTTTCAGCCGGGCTGAAACGAATGTTTGCGTGTCTTTGCTTTCTCACCAGCATTGTTGGGGTAGGTGTCCATGTCCAGGTAGGAGTGCTCCTGGGTCTCGTTTGGCCCTCCAACCACGCCTCCGACCTCACCCCTCTCCAGCCCCACCAGGTCAGAGAAATGGGGGTGGTGCTGGCCCTGCTGGCCAAGGGTGGGATAGAGCGAGGACGAGGAGTGGCCCTCTTTCCTCTGCAGCAGCGGGGGTAAGAGTGACGAGCCCCCGGCAGCTGCAAGGTTTCCGACACCGGCGGTTCCAGGAAGCAACCCCGATGTCAGGCTCAGACCTCCGCCCTCCTTGTCCCGCCATGGTAGCCAGCAGAGCTTCCAGGAAACGAAAAGGGAGACGGAGAGGAGGACGATGCCGCAGAATGTCACAATGACCGACAGCAGGCTGACAGAGATCTCTGCAGAGGACCACAGGAAGAAGGTAAAGAGACGAGTTAACACTTATAAGTCTCTAGCCAAGATAACACCTCTGAGAGTGCACTTTTTTGTAACCTCTATTTAACCAACAAGTTAAACTCTTGAGATTTTTACACGATTTTCCTGCACTGAGCCTGGCAGGGTTAGCCCTGAATGTTTGTTTTTCTTTTTAAAATCTGAGCTCCGAGAAAAAAAATCTTTGCAAGCACAGCCCACTCCCACACTGCAACACAACAATGCTAACAATGCTAACTAAAGCGCTGCCAAGGGCCGTAGCTTGTGTATTAAAGATGGACATCTGAACCGTGAAGCCAGCTTGGAAGCACCTTAAACCTGCACTCTTTCTAAAGGCCAACAGGGGGCAAATCCTCTGCTTGTAGAAAATCTATGTGGAAAAAGTCCTTATTATGAAAAGCTCCCTCGTTCTCTCCTTTTTTCAGGAGTTTATGGCCTTATTTGCAAACTTCAAGTCTATTTGTATACACCATGACCTTTATTTGGGACAGCATGGTCCCCATTGGAAAAAAAAGACAGCAAAGTAGGGTATGCTGTGATCTCTGTTGGACCTATGTGCAAGCTGCAAACTTCACTCATACTAATAATGTAACAGTCAAGGTAGAGACAAGCAGCGTATGTGTTTAATAACAAGTTGTGTTACCTGGTTTCATGTTTCGCCAGGATTTCCCCAAAACATTTGTTACGTTCCCCTGAGGGGTCTAGGTGGTGAGGGGGAAGTAACAAAAAGTGTCCGGGTCAGAAAAAAGAGTCAAGGAGGAAAAAAAGGGTTAAATTAAATAGTTTTATTAAAGTAGCTCAACTAAAAGAGACGGACAATCCGCTATCACCATTTAAGGAAAACAAACAAAACTCAAGCGTTGGTCAATAAAGTAAAAAGTAAGTCAAAAAGAGTGCAGCTCACCAGCTGCAAACACGGACACGCAGCTCACTAGCTGTAACCACACTAATGGCACTCTGGCCCAGAGCTCACCTTTCCCTGGGCTTAAATACTTTTAATTACTGACGAGAGTCAGCTGCACAAAAGAAAGGTGGCAACTAAGGCAGGAGAGATGGACGGACACGCCCAAACAGACAACTTCAGGAGGCGGCCCTGCTAGGGCCGTAACACATTGCAAGTTTCTTAGTAAAATGCAGCACCCGCTTATCATGTCCAGTTTACCAAAAACAAGATTGCGATGGTCAAAATGCTCAGACCAAGGATGCACAACTGAACATCACAGTGGTTGCGCGCATTTTTGTATACAGTCTATGTTTAGCAGTGGTTTGAGC